TATGTAGGATATAGCAGTTCACAAGGACATTTCCTAGAGAATATATTATCTATGCTGTATCTTTAAGGACAACAGGGTGAGATGGTGTTCAGAAGGAATGAAAGAAGGTCTGACTTTCTGGGAAGAGGAGCACATGTGCAGTGGTTCTGTATTGTGAGAGAATATTTGAAAGAGTTGTTTGTACTCATGGTCTGCAGTTCCTTTTTGCCCATTTACTCTTGGTTCTTTTCTGTTTCACCATGCCAGTTCTTGTCAAGGTTACCAGTGATCTCCACTTTGCCAGATCCAGTGGTCAGTTCTCAGCTCTCATCCTTTTTTATTTTTCAACATCATTTGACACAGTTGGCCACTTCCATCTTCTGAAGACACTTTATTAAGTGGCATCTGGGACACATATATCTAGGTCTTGGTTTACTTATTCTTTCAGCAAATATTTATTGAACACCTATTATTTGCCAAAGACTATTCTTAGCATTAGAGATATGGCAGTGAACCAGATGAAGTCTCCTCCCTCATGAAGCTTGTATCTCCTGGGTGGGGAGATACAGAGTAAACAAGGTATATTTTATGTATATGTGTGTATGTATATACAATGGGGAACTTCAGAGAAATGGAATTTATTTATGAAAGATTGTGTATGTATTCTTACATGTTTAAACTTCAGTTACCTTCAGAGTACTCTCCATTTGGTGTAATACATCTGTTAAGACACTTTTTCCACTGCTCAAAACAGTTTTTGAACTTGTCCATTTTGATGCTTTTTAGTGCTTCTGCTGGTTTTGTTTCACCTCTTTGAGGACGTTTTTCATCTGGGGACACACAAAAAAAGTCACTTGGGGTGAGATCAGGTGAATGGGGGGTGGGGCATGGAGGTCTTGATGGTTTTGGTCAAAAACTGCTGAACACTTAGTGTGATGTGGGCAGGTGCGTTCATATATCACCCATCATGAAATGGGCAAACACGTTGAAAGAATCTCAAAAAAAAAAAAAAAAAATTCACAAAAGTGGAATGTAGCCTCTCACAACAACACAAGCTGGCTCACTGATGCTGATGGGTTCCTAGAACACTCACCTAGTGGGGGATGCCTGTATTACAAGGGACCCGCCCTCCAGAATATCATTCTGGTTTTTCTGGGTCCCTCCTTGTATGTATAGTTGGTAAGGGTTGAGGAAAAGCAAAACCGGCAAGTGAGATAGAAACTATTGGGAAGAGTTTCAATAGGATGGCGAGGAAGGCCTCACTGGCAGGGTGACATTTGAGTAGAGACATGGAGGTGAGGGATTGTGCTGTGTGGGTATCTGAGGGATGGACATGTTAGGTGAAGGGGCTGCCAAGTACAAATGCCCTGAAACGGAATGCCTCCTGTGTTTGAGGAATGGTGAGAAAGTTAGTGTGGCTGGAGTGACCTTGGGAGAGAGTAGTAAGAAATGAGGTCTCATGGGACAGAGGGGTCAGGAGGGAATTCTATAGAACTTTACAGGCTGAGAGGATTTTGACCTTCCCACCTGACACTGGAAGTTATTGGAACAATTTAATCAAAATAATGACATCATTTGACTTATGATTTAACAAAGTCACTCTGGCTCCTGCCATGAGAACAGACTGAAGGGGGAGGGGCAGGATGGAAGCACTTAGAAGTCTGTTGGAATATTCCAGTCAAGAAGCATTGGTGGCTTGGACTAGGGTGGTAATAATGAAAGTAGTGAGAAAGGGTCAAATTCTGGACATATTTGAAGGTAGAAGCAGCGTGATTTACTAAGGGATCAGACATAAATTGTAAGAGAAAGAAAGCTCAGTGGTGATCAAGAACTTTTGGTCAGAATAGTTGCAAGCTTGGAGAGTTGCTGGTGGTGGAATTGGGAAAACCTGCTGGAAGGATTGGTTTTCTATTTTGGGAGGAGGGGAAGCTCAGAAGCTCTGTTCTACACATGTTTCACTTGAACTCTGTAATAGACAACCAAATGGGTTGTAGACTAGGCAATTGAACATATATGCCTGTAATCCAGGAAAGCAATCTTGGCTGGTCTAAATTTGGGTCTTATCAGCATTTAGATAGTATTTAAAGCCATGAACTTGATGAGATCACTTAAGGAGCGGGGGATAAGTAGAGAAAGTATCTAACAAATGGATTCTTATGGCATTCCAACATTTTGGTGTGGGAGAGATGAAGAAGAACTGACAAATGCATGGCTAGAGAAGCAGGAAGAAACCCAAGAGTGTGAGGTCATGGAAGTCAAGTAAAGAAGAGTGTTTCAGCCGGGCTCGGTGGCTCAGCCTGTAATCCCGCGCCTTTGGGAGGCTGAGGTGAGTGGATTGCCTGAACCCGCGGGTTCGAGACCCGCCTAGGCAGTGAGACCTCATCTCTACAGTAAATCAAAAAATCAGCGGGGCGTGGTAGCCCATGCCTGTAATTCCGGCTACTTGGAAGGCTGAGGCGGAAGGATCGCTGGAGCCCAGCAGGTCGAGGCTGCGGTGGCCGGGAGTGGCCACTGCACTCCAGTCTGGGTGACAGAGTGAGACTCCAACTCAAAAAAAAAAGAAAGAAAAAAAGGAAGAGTGTTTCAGGGAGAAAGGAGTATTCAGCTATACCAAGTAAGGCGATGACTGCTTCACCTAGTGGAAGCTTAGGTGTTTTTGCAGTAATCACATTGTAGTCACAAGACTTCCCAAGAGATTGTGTATGTCCAGGAGAAAAGGGGGAGCAGGAAGAGGACAAAATGAATTATGTCATTTTTAGTACACAAAACTGGCCTTTAAAATTTGTTCTACTGCCGGGTGTGATGGCTCATGCCTGTAATCCTAAGCACTTTGGGAAGCTGAATCGGGAGGATTGCTTGAGACCAGGAGTTCAAGACTAGCCTAGGCAACATAGTGAGACCTCGTATCTACAAAGAATAATAATAATAATTAGCTGGGTGTGATGGTGTGCACCTGTAGTCCCAGTTACTTGGGAAGCTGAAGTGGAAGGATTGCCTGAGCCCAGGAGGTAGAGGCTGTAGTGGGCTGTGATGATGCCACTGCACTTGACAGAGTGAGACCCTCAACTCAAAAAAAAAAAGTTCCAGTGTACAACTATTACATATCCATAAAAATTGTTTGAAAAATATTTGTTCTGGCAGTTTCTGTTTTGCTTGGTTAATTTAAAAATGGCACCTGGTTGGCAACTTTAGATTCTTGCTACTCAAAAGTGTGGTCTTCAGACTAGCAGCATTAGCATCACCTGGAAACTTAGAAATATGAATTCTCTGTTCTCACACCTGGAAACTTATTAGAAATATGAATTCTCTGTTTTCGCCCCAAATCTACCAAGTCAGAAACTCTTGGTGTGGAGCCCAGCAATTGGTTTTAATCACTTCCAAGTGATTTTGATATAGTCTAAAGTTTGAGAACCACTACCCTAGCTCATTCTCAACCTTGTCTGTATAATAGAATCCTTTGGAGAGTTAAAAATGAAATAAAACCACCGTTGGTTAAACTTTACCAAAAGAAATCCTGATTTAATTTTTTAGGATGGGGCCCAGGTGTATATTCTTTGTTGTTTGCTTCTATTTTAATGTTAAGCTTCCCAGGTGATTCTAATATGCAGCTAGGATTGAAAACCACTGTTCTAGATGTGGTAGTAATCCATGTTCAGCCGATGGGCTAGGAGTCAACCTGAAGAAAACCCAGGGCCTAGCCAAATCCATTTACTCACTCTTATGCATTATATAACAATTGTTGATCATTTGCCAAGCACTAGGACCCCTTTAAATACTTGGACCTCTTCCCTACCACCTTCCCATGCTGGACTTCCCTATTTGAATCTATTACCAAAAAAGCAATCCTTAATATGGTTTTCTATTGACTTATCTACTCAGTAGCATTGTGGGCTGAAAATACTATAAGACAGATATCCTGCATCATTAGTCCACAAAAATACCCACTCACAGGAGACCTGAAGAGTCATAATCATGTGCATCCTGGGTGGTGGGTGTCAAGTGAGGTCTTTGGGTGATGATTTCAACAGACTTTTGGAGTAGTTTCAGTGGTTTTAGCTGAATGACTTGGATCATGGAAAGCTCAAGATTTTCCATTAATAAATTTTCATTTTGGAGCCAGGGTATGCAGTCAGAAACAGACCTACCATTCACTATGCTAATACTGAATGAGGTATGTAAAACCTGTCAGAAGGACAGATCATCTCCATTCTACAAAGTGGCTGTTTTCGCACGGGTGGTTGTAATAGAACCATAGAGTTATGTACACTCTGGGCAAGTGGTACCAGGAACACTGTGTTTTGCAGGGTTTGAGAACACATGTTGCCACTAACCAAGCACAAATCAGCCACTAATAGCTGACTGGCTTCCCTTTAGTCCAGCAAGTATCCTCCATTGTACCTTCAGTGTGGATCAGTATTCTGAGACAACATAGGACTGACAGGGGTCATGCCTAGCCAGTGTAAACAAGTTTCCTTGGCTACAGTGGACTTTATTCTGATTATAGGGTGGCTCGTGGAATCATCATATTGGTCAAAAAACACTAAGAACTGGAACAAAAACCGTGATAACTCCTGAATTCCCTGTTTACAGTATCACTGTCTGTTGGTCAGTATAACTTAAAGGTGGATTGGATTGTTGAAAGATGAAGTGAAATATAGTGCCTGCCTTATAACACTGGCATGTAGATACATCTGAAGTAGTAACCATGGGGGAAAACACTAAATAATTGCTTGGTATTTGCTGACTGCTAGAATGAGGGGATAGGCATTGGACTGAAGGTGGACATTGTGCCCTCGATCTAGTTATTTTGGAGGCTACAGACAAGCAATTCATCATAAGACCACAGAAGTCTAAATTTTTCTCTAGGATGGACAGCTCAGATCATATGCTGGATTGGCAAACAAGAGGTTGTGATTATAGGAGGTGTTAACTCAGATTTCACTCTAAATGTTATCCTGTTCTTTACAACCAGGGAGCAAATGCCTGATTTTACTTTAAACCAAAGGCTGGGGAATATAGGTATGAAACAAAAAGACAGCTTGGATATGAGGTGAGAATTCTGAATTGTATCATTGCCAAGTATGGATGTGTCAACCTCTGGATGGGGTGTGAGAAAGATGGAGGGGTGGTCATAGACATATGTACTGGAAATAAGGAATGTGTGTCAGAACCTAACTGAAATTAAAGGCCCAGAAATAAAATAATGGCAAGAGAAGTGTGCATCCTAGCCTGTTTCCCACATCGGTTAGGAAAACTGAGACTCACAATTGTCATCAGGCTCCTTGTTAAATAAATCTTGCTGCTCTTCCTGTTCCTGAGAATCATGTACCTACTTCATTTTCCACCCAAAGAAAACATTAATTCCCTGCCTCAAATTCGTTGAAGTCTGTTTCTTTTCATCAGTCAAGAGATACAATACTAGAAGCTATTGCCTTTGGTGTGGGTCACATTACATATTCATTTCAATATATGAGGGGTGATGACATTTATCACAGGCAGCTACTCTTAAGAATTTTGCAGTTTTTACTCAGTATGATGTTGTGTATAGAATAAGTTAATTTAGCCACAAGATGATGCTGTAACTAAGTCTAATCACCTCAGTGTCCATGTCTTGATAGATAGTATAAGTGATCAGGAAGCAGGGAAAAATTCCTGACCAGGATTGAAAAGCAGAAGGCCATTCTGGGTCTTGCAGCATAGGGGATCACCGACTACAGAGCTCTCAAACTGGCCAGCATTACTTGATTGCAAAGAGACTTTGATAATTATTAGTTAAACCATGGACAATGAACTTACCACAGAAAACCCATAGATGGTTATGTTACCATGGTATGAAATTGTATCTGAAACCTGGATGTTAGATTCAGATGATATACATTTGCAAGTGACAATTTTTGCAGCCATATAAAGAAACGATATAGAAGTTTGAGGTTAATATACTAGGGAGTATGAGAGGCTTGTTAGCCTTCCTCTCAGAGGGTTATTACTATAATTTTTAAAGTAGTAATATACTGGGGGTGCCAAAAATTATACACATTTTAAGAGATGCTATCTATGCATTACTTTTCAAAGTTGAATTGAATTAGGGTAGCAATGTGTAGTATGATGTTTGCTCAAAAGATTACTAATCAAATGAATAGCTAGCATCACCATGCAACAGGCAGGATAGTATTATATTTTTAATACAGGTTTTTCCTTTCTTAAAATGTGTATACATTTTTGGCACCCTTTGTATATCATTACAGAATATCGAAAAGCATAGAAAAATATTTACCTACAATCTTGCAATCTTGAGATATTGCTATTGTGTTTTGGATTATTCCCTATTAAGATATTTTGATTTTGTTTTTGTTTTTTAGTTGGGGGGGTGTCACTCTTTTGCTCACACTGGAGTACAGTGGCATGATCATGGCTCACAATAGCCTCGAACTCCTGGGCTCAAGTGATCCTTCCTTCTAAGCCTCCCAGGTAGCTGGGACTACAGGTGTGCACCACCATGCATGGCTAGTTTTTTAAATTTTTTGTAGAGATAGGGTCTTGTTATGTTGTCCAGGATGATCTTGAACTCCTGGCCTCAAATGATCCTCCTGCCTCAGCTCTCCCAAAGTGCTAGGATTATAGGCATGAGCCACCGGCCTTGATGCATATATTCTTAAGTAGTTGAGGGTATGTTATGTGTAAAATCTAGATTATTTGCTTTTTATTTAACATTATAACATAAGGTTTTCCCAGTATTATTAAAAATCTCCACACATGTTTTTAATGACTACATGAGAGGCAATCCTGTGAGTGTGTCATAATTCTATAACAGTTTCATAAATGTTGGACATGTAAGTGGTTTTCCTACTTTTACTGTTATAAAAGATGATGCAGTGAAAAGAATTACCCATAAGGATTTTTCTGTATTGAGGATTATTTCTTTCAAAAAAATTTATTTTGACACTAATAGTCTCATTGGAAACTCAGTTAACAAATATCGATTGAATACCTGCTGAGTGCCAGTCATTGTTGAAGGTGCTTAGGATATAATATATTGGAACACACAGTCTCATGGAGGAGAGTAAGATAATAAATGTAGAATATCAATTTTAGGTAGTTGATAACTACTATAAATAAATGAAGATAATGGGTAGACTATGTTGGAATGACTAGGAGTAGTTAGGGAAGGCTTCTCTGAGCAAGTTGCATTTGACTTACAGCATGAATGATATGAATGAGGTAAAGATTTGAGAGATTATTCTAGACAAAGACTAGGAGAGCATAATGAGCTTGGCCATTTTAAGAGACTGGGGGGTATTGAACAAGAGGAAAAATGTTACAAGTTATGGTTTGAGAAGTAGGTGAACACATATCTTATAAAGACTTGTAAGTACACATCTTAGATAGTTTGGGTTTTATTCTGTTTGAATAGGAACCTATTGGAGGGTTTTAACCAAGTAAATGATGAGATCAGATTTACATTATTTTAGAAGAACACTCTGGCAATGTTGAGAAAGCTCTAAAGGGGAGTAATAGAAGAAAAAAGGTAGGTAGTCAGATGGCTACTGAGGCAGTTCTGGTGGAAGATGAATGCTGGCCCAGATTCTGGATGTAGCAGAGGTGAGGGTGACAATAGAGCCAATAGCACAGGCTAATGGGATGCATGTGATGAGTGAGGGGAAGAGAGGTGGTGAAGGTGAATTTAAGCAATTGAATGGATGGTGATACCATTTACTAAGATAAGGAGAAGCAAACTGGAGGGTAAGCAGGGAAGAAATCAGATTCTCTTGAATGTATTTAGTTTGAGGTGCTTATTCTCTGCTCTGACTTAGATTTGAGGGTTATCACAGTCTATATGCACTTAAAGTCATGGGTTTGGATTAAATGACTTGGGAAAGGTAGGTAAGACAGCCAAGACAAAGTCCTCAGATACTTCAACATCCAGATGTTGGGTGCAGGAGGGTAGGGCCTCTCAAAGAGCCAGGGAAGGGAGGGCTGGTAGATTATGGAGCCAGGAAAGCCCAGAGAGGAGAGTATTTCAAAAAGAAAAAAGTGGTCAATTCTGTTGAGTATTGCTGAAAAGTGGAAGAAAATGGGGACTTGCAATTTTTCACTAGAGTTGACAAGGTCACACAAGATCTTGAAAATACTATTTCAGTGAAGAAGAAGGGGACGAAAGCCTACTCGGAATACATTGAGACAATACAAGGATGAAGAAGATGAGACTGCTCTTTTGAGGAATTTTGCTGTGAATGTGGAACAACAGAGAAATGGGGTGACCGGTGAAGGGCCAAGGGAATTCCAAAATATATGTATATTTGAATGCTAATAGGAATGACACAGTGGTGAGGAAGCAATAGTTCTAGGAATGAAGTACTTGCAAGTAAGGAGAATGGGATTCAGAACACCGTGGAGAGCTCAGGGAGTATAGACATGTCTTCTATTTTATAAGAGGGAAGTCAGAGTCTGCTGGTGAGGTACAGTTAGGTGAGTGAATTTCGTAGGAATGAAGTTATTCACTTTATTTCCATCTGTATTACTCGTTAAGTCCAAGGCAGGCTTATCAGCTGCAAGGCAGAGCTTGATAGTGGGGGAAGTGTAGTCATGAGGGAGGTTGGTGGTTGAGAAAGGGATGCAAATATATCAACTAAGTGTTGAATAGAGTTGTCTAATAGTGCACAGTGCTCGTTTGGGATGTGTGAGATACATTTGAAAGGATGCTGATTAACACTTGTATGTGAGAAGGGAAATCTATGGAGAAGACAGCTCCTTTTGTCCTTATTTAATGTGTGACTTTGTAGTTATGATAAATTTAGAGATTAAATACCTGAAGTCACTTAATATGTAATTGTGAGATTTGATGATAGTGTTCATACCTAATTAATTTCTATTACTCAGCAGTATTACTAGGAAGAGGAACCGTAAAAAAACTTGTTTTTTCCATATATTTCAAATGCTAGTGTTATGATATGGGTGGGTATTAATTATGTTAAATACTTTTTTTTTTTCAATTGGAGTCTTACTCTGTTGCCCAGACTGGAGTGCAGTGGCTGCTCCCGGCCACCGCAGCCTCCACCTGCTGCACTCCGGTGATCCTTCCGCCTCAGCCTTCCGAGTAGCCGGAATTACAGACATGTGCGACCATGCCCAGCTAATTTTTTATTTATTGTAGAGATGAGGTCTCACCAAGTTGCCCAGGCGGGTCTCGAACCCGTGGACTCAGGCAGTCCACTCACCTCAGCCTCCCAAGGTGCAGGATTACAGGCTGAGCCACCGGTTAAATACTTTAGAATAGAAATACACCTTCAGATAGTTACTTTTATCATCTGTCTCCCAAATAAATCTATAAATGTTTTTTAATTTTACTATATGTTCAGCAATTTACTAGGCATTATGGAGATAAAGCTTAACTCTAAGATATTAAGGTGACTTTAAGGATGCTTAAACAACACTGTGCTTTCATTCTCTTTTAAGAAAATTGGAGGTATCAGAAGAATCTTCAGATTCCAGCATCCATCAGCAGTACCTCCAGCTCCTGTCTCCTGTTAATCCCCTCACTTGTGCACTAGATCCCAGTTGTCTGCTTCAGAAATTATCGCCTTTACCTACATTAATATATCCTCTCCATACTGGATGATTTTTTTCAACAAGTTATGTTAAAAACAACTGAATATCTATTATGAGGAAAAAAATGAACCTCAACATGTACCTTATTATATATTAAATTTAACTAACATTGGTTCATATATCTTCAGTGTGAGAGCAAAAACTATAAAATTTCTAGAAAAAGATATAGGAAGTAGAACACAACAACCACACATGGATTATAAAAAGTAAATTATAAATTGAATCTTATTAAAATAACTTATCTCACTTCCAGATCACTGAAAACAGTAATGGATATATAGTAAATAACTTCCCCAAATTGCTTCATGACAATGAACTTTCTGCAAACCATAGCCTTGACATTGCTTATACAAAGAAGGCCAAAATTGCCAAATAACTATAAGTAAAAGGAGAAGAAGAAACATTTCAGTTTCAGTTTTACAAGCTCTCTCCCTTCTCTTCTGC